CCCCCAGCTTGTGTCCACTCTCTGTCTTCTCACACTGGAACTTGAGAGAGGAAGTACCACACCCCGCTGGCCCTAGCACTTCTCCACTCTGACAAAGGTTACTCTCCCTGTGTTGCTGTTTCCACAGCTCTCGCGTGTTCTCATCTTACCTAACCTCTCCCCAGTGTTGGACAATCTTGACCGGCCCTTGTGACAGCCCTTCCTTCCTGTGTGACCCTCTCTCTGCTTCTCCTGATCTCTGGCCCCCCCTCCGCGCATCGGTGTTCCTCATGGTCTCACCGCTTGCTCAGCTGTTCCCCTGGATGACAGACCCATCCAGTTGAGCGCCTTGACCGGCACATTCTGGGAGAGGATCGGAACCGTCGCCTGATTGATGCTGGCCCTTTGCTCCTGGCTGCCATTTCTCCGTCTACCCAGCCACCCGCGCCCAGCGGTTCCTCTGCTCTCCTCTCTCTCTTTCTCCCTCCTTTTCTCAAGTCCATTAGCACTTTCTATGGGTTTTATCTCTTCATATTTACGACCCCCTTTCCCCTCTTTCGTCCCTTCGCCCTGACCTCAGTTCTGGCCTCTGCAGGGTTTTGCCTGCACTGTTGCTGTGACCTCTTAACCTTCACTCTTTTTTTTTTTTTTAATTTTTTTTCAACGTTTATTTGATGGGACAGAGAGACAAGAGCATGAACGGGGAGGGGCAGAGAGAGGAGACACAGAATCGGAAACAGGCTCAGGCTCCGAGCCATCAGCCCAGAGCCTGACGGGGCTCAGGCTCACGGACCTTGAATCGTGACTGGCTGAAGTCGAGACGCCTTAACTGATCAGCCACCCAGGCGCCCCTTAACCTTCACTCTTTTTTTTTTTATTTTTGGGACAGAGAGAGACAGAGCATGAACGGGGGAGGGGCAGAGAGAGAGGGAGACACGGAATCGGAAACAGGCTCCAGGCTCTGAGCCATCAGCCCAGAGCCCCGACGGGGCCTGAACTCATGGACCCATGAGATCGCGACCTGGCTGAAGTCGGACGCTTAACCGACTGCGCCACCCAGGCGCCCCTAACCTTCACTCTTAATAGAGCCCTCCCTCTGCTTTTGACAGAGGGTCATCTTTCTAGAATGCATATCTGATCAGACCCCCTGATTCAAAATCTTCAAAAGTCTCGAAAAGGCTCCTCCGTGGCCCCAGAGGCAACTCTGCAACCCGCCAGCAGCATGCAGTGCCCTTTGTCATCGGCTTTCCACTGCCTGTGACTTTCCTGCTATGGGGACCTCATCCGTTTCTCTACCAGGGCTTTCTGCTTCAGGCCACCTGGCCCGTGCCAGCTGCCTGTAGTGCCTGGCAAGTCCCTACTCCCTTGTGAAAGACCAGACTGAGGCATTCCTGCCCTCCAGGGAGGATGTCTGGACTAGATTTGGTGATCCTTCATTTGACTTAGGTGCTCACAGACTTGTTTTTCCCTCCTAGACACAGACAGGGCCCATGTTGCCTTTATATTCTCGAGCTTAGCCAGGTGCTTGGCCTATGGCGGCATGTCAATGTCATTCTGAGTCAAGCCCAACTTCCAGGCCGGGCTGTATTCCCAAACCTCATACTGATAGTGCTTTTCCAAATCCGAATACACGCGCCTGCCTGTTTCCTTTAAACTTGGCCACGAAGCTGGGCAGTGGTGATAGAGAACCTTGCTGTATTAGCAGCTTTATCTGTGGCATAGTGGTTTGAAGGGGCGGCCCGCGGGTCTGTCTCGTGTCGTACACATAGTTGTTGTGGGGAAGGCATTTCATTGCCAAGCTCAATGCATTCTGCAGCACGTACGAGTTTGGCCTAGCCTTTGGCTTATGTTTACATCGATGAACATTTCTTGGGGAAACCAGCCCATTACTTTTAAAGTGGGATGTCTGTTTTAAAGTGCTAACTAAAGCAGTCTGGTGGGAGAACATTCTGTGAGATTCCAGAAGAGCCTGAGTCTGTGTCTCTAGAGGTTATGAGTCAGTTTTCTCCTAGCTGTCTTAATTGGCCCAGTGCAAGTTCACCCCAGAGTCTTCCTGAGCTCTGCGTTGCTGAATTAGGGCACATTCCCACACCCGGATCCTGGATTTGAACGGTTTTCTAGCATGTGGCCTTCCTTTACTTTCGGGCAAGCCATTGTGGCAAGGGCAATGTCATGATGTGGAACGTGGCACCAGCAGCTGGGGATCCTTAGAACTGGACTCCCAGCCTTTCTTCCCATGTCTTGCGTGACTCCTTCCTAAAGAGATTTGCCCAATTTTTATCCAGCAATAAAAAAAAATTGAGGAGCACAAGTCAGCTCCATAGGTTGGAGATAATTGAAAACCGGAAAGGGATGTCCAGGAGGCTGGAGCTTTCCTTCATGTTGACCAGGAAGCTTTGGCCCTAACAGAATGGTCTTGATAGGAAGCGAGGGGCTTCCCAAATTACGAGAGCAAGTGGGTGGGCGTTTCATCCTTTGGAGACCAGGGATGCCAATCCACTGCGGGCCCAGGAAGACAGGGGCCTTGGTGCTTCTTTTTAACGATCTGCGGGAGTTCAGGCCCACGTAATTTCTAACCCTCCGTCTGAGAGGTTTTCCCTCACCTTCTGCGTGATGCTGGACTCGCTGCAGCCCTGAGCCCCCACGGTGACCCACTGAGAATATTTCCGAGTCCCTTTTCGCTGGGCACAGCTGACCTGCCAAGCAGTTAGCCACAGGTCTCTTGTTCTTGGAGCAGAGAGGAAGTTACTTAACAGGACTCAATTATGGACAGTGGTACCTCGGGGTCAGCGGGCTCTGAGATGAGCTCCTTGGCACTGGGTTTGGGGGAAAACAGGGTTGTTCTCTGCTACTCACCTCTTAAAAGGCACAGCCAGATAGTTCCTTTTCTGCTTTTTCCCTAAACAGGAACTAGAAAAAGGTTTCCTCCCTGAGCTGCCTGTGGCTTATGACATACTAGCATTTATTCTGCAAAATAGGGTAGTTGGTGGCTTTGTCTGGGGACTTTTATGAGATGAGCTCTTTGCCTGTTCCCGGGACCTCCCTGCCTTTCATCTCTTAAACGCTCTGGTTTGCCTCAGTCCTATCGTATGCCTCTTGTCCCGCAGTTAGTATTAGTGGTGTCCATTTTCACTTTCAAGAGCAGCCCAGTTTGGGTGATAAATTCTATGGTCACCCTACCTATTTGTCAGAGTGAGCCAGGGCTTCTCAAACTTGGCAACTCTTGACTTTGGGGCCGGGTAATTCTCTGCTGGGGGTAGGGGGCTGGTCCTGTGCATTGTAGATGTCTAGCAGCAACCCGGCCCCTTTGTACTAAATGCCAGCGGCACCCTCCCTCTCCATTGTGACAACCAGAAACGTCCCCAGACTTTGCTACTAGATGTTCCCTGGGGGGCAAAACTGCCTGCACTTGGGAACCACCGGACTGAGCCCTGCAGAGTGGTTTTATTGAGTGTCGGCTTCCGTGGGTCAGTAGTGCCTCCGCCTTGCCAAGGATCCAAGACTCAATGCCAAGGGATGCTGCTGGGATTGATTAGTGCTGTCTGCCGTGGGCACAGGATGGGGCATGGCAGCCTTTGGCACCCTGGATTAGTCTGTGGAGAGAGGAGGTAGAAAGTGCCGGAATACCAAGAGGTTTAGTGCATTACTCTGGCACTGGAGACCCTGGCAGTCCAGGCGGAAGGATAGGATGTGTTTGCATGCAGACATCTGGGGCCGTGGCTGTAGAAGAAGACAAGCTGCCACCGTGTCCGATTGCGCGGCTGCAGCAGGTGTCCTGGGAGTTCAGGGGAAAGTGTGGCCACCCAGGCCTGGGGTGGTCGGGGAGGGACCGGGGAGGCCGGCTCCTGCGGAAAGGCTGGCAGGTGTGCGTCAACAAGTGGTTACAGTGTAGCCCAGACGTGCCTGGCAGTTCTGTTTGTTTTAAGCCTCGACCTTGGGTTTAATTAAAGTTGCGGTGACTTGGTCGGTTCACCCTCCCAACCCTGGCTTCTTTTCCACGTATGTTGCCGTGGCCATGAATGGGTTCTTCCTGCCTCAGGGATTGAGCCGGTCCTTGGTCCTCGGGATTCCGTAAAGGGCCGCTGGACGAGAGCATGAACCCCTTGCTGGGCAGGTGATAGCGCTGTGGGGCATGAGGGCACGTCCCGGGGCAGGAGCAGCACGTGGCCTGTTGAAGGCGCCATGGGGTTGGGAAATGGCACCCCGGGCTCCCGGCAGGACCTGGCGTTCCGGGCTCTCCCTCTGGGGGTCAGGCTGTGTGCGTGTTCTTAGGGGAGAACCGACCAGTGAAAGAATCTGACTTGAGCGCAGCTCTCTCCCCAGCGAAAGCAGAAAACCTCTTCT